AAGATGTGATGTTGATATTGGCATTTTAAAACATAATTAACCATTTGAAGAAACTATTTATTTAATAATTGCTCACTTTTCCTTAATTCATAAACTCTAAATGGCTATTTTTTTATAACTAAAAAAGATGATTTGAAGATAAACAAATAAAGAAACATCTAATGAAAAAGTTTAAACTAATGGTTACATGATTTGACTAGATTTTTCCCAACCCATAGTCTATGCGTCTATAACCTATCTATATAAAACCAAAACCAAAACCAAAACCGAAACATATATTGATACCGAAATTTCTCTTAGAGCAAATTCTTCAATTTTTTGATAATAATATAACCTAATTATTCATGCATTCAAATAACGAAACATTTTTTTCTCCTTTAATTACGTAATGCTAACTTCCGAAAAAACATAATCATCGAATAATGACCAACCATCGTATCATTAGAGAAAAAATATTTTTTTTTTAATTAAAAAAGAAAGAATATTGGCTAAAATATCTTAAGAGTTTTGATGAGTTAACAAGAATTGAATAATTAAGGGAAAAAAGAAAGTGGTCCAATTTTACTCATAAACTCCATCTATGAATGAAACCACATGGTTGATGGAATTTTGATCATGGCCATCCATCCATGGAGTTGACCGGTAACTACCTCACATGATTGTCACCTCACTTTATTTAGGCCCCGTTTCGTTGGAGAGATTAGTCATTATTAACTAATTAGTTGGACTTTGTTTGATATCCCAATAACTTGCCGGATCGACCCACAAATATTAAGTTATCGTGATTATCTTGCTTTCTAGGCATGTCTTTTATTAGATCTTCCAAGATCAAATAATTTAATTGGGTTTCACTGGATTATTTAATCTTATCTTGGCTAATCTTATCTTGTCAACCAAGCGAGACCTTAATCTTCTAAGGTCTTGTTTGGTTATCAGGATAAGATTAGTCTAGTTAAAATAAAATCCAATTGTATTATTGAACCCTGGAAGGTCCAATAAAAAACATGTCTAGAAGGCGAAATAAGGCATGACAACATAATATTTGTGAGTCGACCTGACAAGTTATTGAAAATACCAAACATCAAACAAAATCCAATTATTTTAGTTAATCGTGAGCAATTTCCCCAACCAAACGAGACCTAATTGTACGAAAATACCCCGTGAGGTGGAAATGAAACTAAACTGAACTCAAATCCAAAATACAAGACCTAATGTTTTTCCCCCAAAATCAACTCAACTTGTTACAAATTGAATTTTGTCTTGTCACTAATGCTTCTTTTCTAGTTAGGAGCCACTAAGGGGGTAATCAAAAATTAGGATAATGTCATATCACCATGCATCTCCATGTTATCACAAAAAAATTGAAAAAAGCTCCACCCCCACCCCTACCCCCCCTACCCCCACCCCCCACCCAACCACATGATAATTTTCACCATCTACCTATTTTTGTGTTTGAGCCCTCACATAAACTTTGTGACCATGTTTTATTCATAACTAGTAAGCTTATTTAATCTTAAATGGTCCTTATCAATGGTGCAAGATCCATCGCTACATCATCGTCATCATCATCACCATCATCATACGAAAAAAAAATTATAAAAAAAAAGGAGGTTAAAATCACATGTGAGAGACCATCTACCAATCAAGTGTTAACGGCGATGACCCTTTTAACATGTGCCTTATTTCCAACCGAGAAATTAATTGCATAACGCATGATTAGGATCAACCAC